ATGCACTGAATGCACGTGATTGAATATGATGATTATTTAAATTGAATAAAAAGAAAATTAAGTCTTTTGTGGGATTGATCATCTACCTAATAATCTCTCTCTCATATAAAATGTTGTCATTGTTTCCTTCAACTCAGACTGTGGCCACATGATTTACTATTTGTGAGTTATAAACACACATTGATGTAGTACAACATCTCTGTTTATTAATATCTTGAAGTCTTTAAAAGATGAGTGATCATTCAATTCGCAAAGGAATTTTACATATGAATTTACTTGTAATATGTCCAATAAATTTTTAGTTGTGGTTTGACTAATATTCACATTAACTTTTAATTGTGATTTCACTCATATTTATATTATCTAATATTCTCATTCAATTTTATAGTTCATTCTCTTTATCATAGAAGTACAATTGAAAGTATAATGAATTATTTTCTTGCCAAATTAGAGCAGTGAGATTGTGATATATTTTGCTATGTGCTCTGAATATAAAATCTTCTTTTTCTTTGATGTAAGATCCCTATCAAATCTTGCCTCAACCAATGTGAATAAAAAATGCTATTATAACTCGCTTGTCTAGGACAATTGTATTGTATATATGACATAGAACTCATCTGGAATATCCACATCTGCTAAATGGATTTTGTTGTTGTGAGAGTAAAATGTTAGAGACTCGTATTCAAACTTTTTGGCTATATAAAATACACAAGAATTTGGAGTGTATAGCTTATATATCGTAAAGAACATAGTGGTTCACGAAGAATTTTTCCTAATAGTGATATCATTACAATGATATTACTATTTAGTATTAAACTAATTTTATTATATAAGATTATATAACTCTTTTTAATAAATTATAAAATATATATATGGAAACCTAGATGCTTATAGTCAATACTTGGGCTCCACAAAATAGGTTAACTTTGCATTGTAGTTTGCTATTAGTGGTATTGTTTGCAATACCATTACATTTCCTCTTTATCTTATTATTCACGCTTTACTGATATAAGTTATCTTTTGCTAATCACTTAATTGGTTTTATTTAGTTTTTATAATATCAGAGGTTAGAATATTCTCTTCTGTTAAAAAAGTGTTGACATGGTTTTCTTAAAAAATATATACACATAGTAACAATAGTATATACTTCAGTTCAACTCAAACATTGGTTTGAAACCATTTAGAGTGAGATCTTTTCTACTCTAGATTGGTGATATATTGATTACATAATCCAAAAGTCAAAGAAGAAATTTGTACAAAGGAAAAGTAATTTAATATGTCAAATTAACAACTAATTTATAAAATACACAGACAATGCAGATAGCTATAGAAATTAATGTATATATATTCATGGAAATTCCATAATAAGTGACCAACTACAATCATCCTAATTTAAGCATAAATAATTATTATTTTAGTTACTAATTTGATACGCGTAACTATGGAACAAATGTTAAGCAAAAAATAGGAATTGAGATTATATTGTCCTCTAGGTAAATAAATAAATGTTATTAGAGATCCTCTTTATAGTAAATTTTGAAATAATAATTTAAAATATTAAGCGTCAAATATTAGTTCATGTGAGAAAGTAAAGTAATCTATGGTCTATATACTCATATAATCAATCAACCAAACATATTAAAATTATATGGTAGATTCACATTAAATATAATTTATAAAAAATAGTACATTAAAGTTAAAATCCATTTAATCACTATATAGATTGTTTGAAATTTTTTGCATATATAACTATACTACTTAGGAATAATAATGTGCACACTTAATTATCACCTAATACATTTTAAGAACGATTTACTCTTCAATATCACCATTAATTAACGTATCTATGCATTACACTGGAAACACAATAAAAATTTAGAAAACTATAAAAGAAATATGATAAAAAGTATTAAAATTTATAAAAAACACCCTAAAATTTTAAAATTTACAAATACACAAAACTATTAAACATTACATTGAAATCAAGGAATTATAAAAAAAAATCATTAAAAATTTTTAAACTTTGGAGGGGTAATTTGCAATGTACTAAACTTTAAGGTTTTTTGTAAATTTTAAATTTAATAGATTTTCAATTAGTTATTTTCTTTTAAAAAAAGTTATGGGTAATATTGACCATAAAAAGTTTTTCCTGACATTTTTATAAATTTTTAATTTTATGGGGGTTGTTAGTAATTTTGTATATTTATTTTAGTGTCTATAAATTAGAAATTCTAATTGTGTTTTTAGTAAATTATAAATTTTAAGGGTTTATTGCAACTTGTTTTAAACTTATAGGCTTTTTTTTACATATTATAAATTATTTATAGACTATTTGTAATTCATATGTTTCAATTTAGAGTTAGAAATTCTCAGGGTGTTTTTGTATAAATTTTTAATTTTGAGTGTTCGTTTATATTTTTTAAAAATTTAAAGATTTTTTATATAAATTATAAATTATGTAGGGGATATTTATAATTCTCTACGAACTGAAATAAGTAAAGGATTTGAAATATATCAAACGTATCTTCTTTATCCAATAACATGTTAAGTCTCATTATGAATAGGATAAAACATTTAATTACGATTTTAAAGAATATATGATAATTAGAATAGATTAGGATAACAATGTAATATTCAAAAAAGTTAAGGGTAATATTAACCATGAAAAGATTTTCCCGAACTTGTACTTTTAAAGGGAGTATGATTAGTCTCCCAAATCTTTCTAATATTAGTTCTCTAAATCTTGTAAGTGTCTACTTTTAAAGGGAGTATGATTAGTCTCCCAAATCTTTCTAATATTAGTTCTCTAAATCTTGTAAGTGTCTTCAAATTGGTCCCTTTATTTAGCACCAAAAAATCTTTCTAATATTAGTTCTCTAAATCTTGTAAGTGTCTTCAAATTGGTCCCTTTATTTAGCACCAAATTAAAAGATTCGGGGACTAATTGAAAAACAAAAGGATTTGGGAGGTTTAATTTAAAAATATGTAGATTTGGGGAACTAATGGGGACTAATTGAAAAACAAAAGGATTTGGGAGGTTTAATTTAAAAATATGTAGATTTGGGGAACTAATATAGAAAAAACACATAAACTATATAAGCTAAAATTCCCAAAACCCCAATGTTAACGAAAATGGTAGTTCAAAGGGTAAAGTGAGACCGAAAATTTTTGAAGGATGTAAGCGGTGACAAATATAATTGTTTAGAAGAGAAGGTGGGAGAGAAAAATAATTTACGGATAAGTAGGAACAAAATTAATACTTTAGAATTAGAAAGCAAGTACTTAAGGGTGTTTGAAAAGACTTATTTTTTAAGCTTATAAGCTATGCCGGCTTTTATTAATGACTTTTAACTTTTATGATAAAAATATTATAAAAATTATTTGGATATAGTAGTAATTTTTAGTCAATCCAAACTTATTTAGATGGGCTTATAAACTAGTTAAAGCTGGTGTATTTCAAAATTATTGTTTTAAGTGATTAATAAAATTATTATTATTTATTAATTTTTCTTGTTTTTTTTTGTATAATTTAAAATGTAATAAAAATTACAAAATTCGATAAAAATTAAAAAAAAAATGAAAAAAATCCGGGCCCGCCCGGAACCCGGCCCGGTCGGGTCCAACCTCTGGTATTGCAGGGTCCGGATTTCCGTCCCGGCCCGACCGAGCTAGCCCGGATGGACAGGCCTAGGAAGGAGGTTTGCGTTTGGGGAGGGGGCGAGGTTAATGCATCTTACTTGAGAAGGCAAACTGGATGCTACCGGTTGCCATAAAGTTCACAAAAGCTGTATAGTTTAGTAACAACAACAATTTGCCTGTATTAGATAACTCCACAATAAATGAACAACATCTACCAGACAACAACAACAGAAAAATCTACAAGCTGATAATTTCCTGATCATTGTAACTCAAAATATTATGGACAATAGAAATAACTGCGTGATGTTCCATGGAAAATTAAATTACAATAAAGCGCATCAACTCCTTTGTGCAAAAATATATAATTAAAAAAAAATCAGGCAAACATACAATTTCAATTGAGTTGGGCAAGAAAAAGAACAAAATTTTTTGGCCGCGCTAAACTAGCTTATGTATAAATAATATACACGTATCTGTTACAATTAACTCAGGACTTACAAGGGCTTGAACACCATGGAAAAGAAGAAATTGTCCCATATCACGATCATTCTTCAGACATTGCAATACCCCGTAACACTGGGTAACACTGGCTTACCGTCTTGAAGAAAAAAAAAATCAGTTGAAAAAATAAGCACAACTTCTGCAGTGGAACCTCGCCACTCATTCAAAAACCGAAAAAAAAAATCAGTTGAAAAAATAAGCACAACTTCTGCAGTGGAACCTCGCCACTCATTCAAAAACCGAGCATTGGTTTGATACTGCTTCATCATCTTTTGCTCTCACGGATAACTAATTCAGGGTTGGTGTATACCCTTCTGAAGATTCCATCTCTAAAAGCATCAATGATTTCTGTCTCTGATACCGGTTTCTTTTAGCAGCAATGGCTGAGAGAGAACAGGGGGAATCATATGAAAGTAAGGACCTTGGGATTAAGTGAGATTTGGTGAATAAAAACTAATGCTTAAAAATAGTTTACAAATGATTATATGGGTTATTGTAAGTCACAATGATAATGGTTCTGTGCAATTGATTAGTCAACAGAATGTGATGCACAGGAAAATGTCAGAAAGGTACTTGGGCACAAATAACATGTACCAGAAAATTATATGGGTTATTGAAGTCACAATGATAATGGTTCTGTGCAATTGATTAGTCAACAGAATGTGATGCACAGGAAAATGTCAGAAAGGTACTTGGGCACAAATAACATGTACCATAACAGAATGTGATGCACAGGAAAATGTCAGAAAGGTACTTGGGCACAAATAACATGTACCATAAATTTTTTGAGTTGAAGGAAATTATAGGCAGAAGCCCCAAACTAAATGAAGATTAAAAAAGGATTTTCATTTAAAGACGAGATGTTAGAAAAAGTTCGGTAGGCAGTAAAAGTTGCGAACTTGTTGCAAAAATGCACATTTTATCATCCACTCTTCAGGAGGATATTATTAAATGAGACCCTAAATATAGGAATAGAAAACAAACCATGGGATTTTAAAGGGACACATTGTTCCTGGAACTTTGAAGGAACAACTTTGAATGCATACGGCTACCACTACCAGAAGTCAAAGGAACTAGATAATTGTTATAGTTTTCTTTGTTGTGCTTAGAAGTTACTAGTTATCTAGTTTAAACAAACTCATTACTGAATTAGCGTGTTTTCCCAAATGAGGTTAGGAGTGCTTGTGTTCTGATCTCCCTGGCTAGGCCTTCACTGAGTTCAAGTTAGAGATCCAAATTGTAAGTAGAACCGAGGTTGATAATTAGTGGGCCCTGCACTGTGGAAGACTTAATCCTGAACTATGAAATTGTGCAGGAAACATATTTGATTTGCTAGGAACTTACACCATAAAAATCTTTAACCAGATTGTAATATTAAGAGAACTTCAAAGGATCCAACAACATGTCAAAGAAAGTTTCTTTGAACTTGTGATATAATTTTCACTCATTTTTGTTATTATTGTTGCTCTTGGAGGTTGGGAACATGTAAATTGGTCAAGTATACAAAACATCTAAAAATGGAGTCACTATATTTCAATTTATGAAAAATAAGCATAGGCAAAATAATGATGATAATGCAAGACGTGCGAAAGTAAAAATAAGGACAGTATACAGAATGAAGAAAATAATAGTTGACAAAAATTCAGTACTCACATATTAAGTCTTGCGGGAGTCCGAAATCATAGTCATTTTTTCCTCTTCTAATGCAGAGTATATAAATTAACAGGACAATCAATGCGAGAACAACAGCGCATGCAAGGCCTATAGCAATTTTTACACCTATATAAATTAACAGGACAATCAATGCGAGAACAACAGCGCATGCAAGGCCTATAGCAATTTTTACACCTGTGGATAACCCTTTGCTCCAGAAAAAGGGACATGGTGGCAGAGTTGGTACACCACACAAGCCTTTATTACCTGAAAGACTATACAAAAAAGGTAATAAAACAGAAAAAGAATCACCCAATTTCACTAGCAAATGCAATTATCCAGATATTGATTTCGCACACAATGATTCCATATTTACAGATTCTAAACAGAAGATTGGCCATGATTCAAACTGCTGCAGTGCCTCTAAGAATGCAAAATCAAAGGGTTAAAATTCTTTCTCACATAAAGAGGAAGCCAAATCAACAATGAGGCTATCCTTAACCATTAGCAAATTACCATGTATCTTAAGATCCAGAGAGGCATTGATGGCCTGATAGGAAGCTACTTATTTATGGTTGGTTCTTCTACATGTTACTTGACCCTCTAGGTTTATGGTTCTATTCTTAATTTTCAACTTTTTACCAAATAACAAAGTTGATGCTGGTCTCAGAACCTTGTAAATCGTTACCACAGTTTTATTAGTTTCAACTTGTGAACCATAGAGAACCACATTTCAATCAAGAAGTCGTGTATAATGATGATAGAAGACTTTCATATAAAGGAGGAGCCAAAGCACACTTACATGGTACCTTAAAAGAGAAAAATATCTGATCAGCCACTTCAGATATATCATACTTCTTTTACATCCAGATTACATTAACCTGTTAAGTACAGCTCCACTCGACCTCACCAATCGAGTCGATCACCCTCATTCACTCAGAGTTGGGTCAACATCTTGCGAGGCTGACTAGAGAGGCGATACTTGTCGTCCCTCTTGTAGAGCCGAGTCAAGAGGCGGTTCGACCTCGAACTCAGCAGCGACAACTGTCTATCCTCATCATTGCGAGTGTCACGAGTCTCCATGACTCATCACCCCTCATACCTCCTCAATCTCCACCACATACAATCAAGGATGACTCAATCACATATGCAGTCGATACGTGTCCTGCTCCACGCCAGATCAGACATGATCAGAGCCCAGACGACTCGATCTGCTCCTGTAGCCGACTTCATAGACCGACAACTTACGTGGCCGACTGAAAAGGCGATACTTGTCGGCCTACCCACTAGATCGATCCTATTGAGCACCCCCACTCGGCCCGCTATATTAGCTGATAACTTGCATAGCCGACTAAAAAGATTGTGTTTTTCCATCTTCAGCCAGATGATTAGAGAGACAATGTATTCTCGACCCCCCACCGACAGCCAGTCACCATCATATTAAATGCACGATCAAATTCATCATTGCTCTAGCCCTCATAGTCTTCATAACTCATCAGACCCAGTTAACACTAAGCAACGGCTATCGCTTTACACTAACCACTCAGATGACTCATGCCACCCACAGCTGACATCTGTCAACTGTCTGTCAAGTCAGCTGCCTATTTAGACTCAGCCACAGTTACATATTTACCCTCTCAGGTGGGTATGTATATGAGCTCATTGTCTACTAGCAGAGGGGACAGGAGGAAACCCAGACGGGCCACAAGTATGCAACTTATGCATAATTAGAACTATTTTCAGTTCATTGGTATCTTCTCCATTCAAGCTCAAATATTGACTTGATTATCAGAGAAACCATCGGAGAACCCAACTACAGTCCTCTAACGAGTGTGATTGTGCAGCTCTCTTATACAGACAGGGGACTGATCTTCAAAAGAGATGAGGAAACCCACATTACTCATATCAACCTTAAGCCCCCTTGCTAAACTCGGGATTACCCGCTAATTTCATTGTTGGATCTCAGGATATCAACATGTAGTTATGAAGCATTATTTTAATTTTATACCGTTTCACTTTTTCTTCTTCCTAGCTGTCTCTTCTCCAAAACAGTACTTGTTTTCTTCTCCGCTTGCCTCAAGTATTGGATTGCTTTATTCTCAGATGCACTAGCCAAGATATATTTCAGAACTAGCACTACCAGTCTTTCATACGAAATAGTATTTCTGATGAGAATATTTTGAATCCTATGTTTTAATTAATGAACTAAATGAATACTTAATGCTATTTATTTTTCTTAATTCTGTTGATATTTCAGGGCTAGATATTTAATGGATGATCTAAGTACTCCAAGTTTCAATACATATTCAATTTTTCATGAACAACAAGAAAATTCACAAAGTTCAAGTTTGATCCGAGACACTCAACCAAGTGCTCATGGCTTTGAAGAGCTCAGTGGAGCTGAAGCATGCTGCTTGAAGCTCGTCTTGAATCTTAGGTGTTTTTAATGTCTCTGAAGATAAGAAAACTCTAGCACTAGGAACTAGGAATCTGAACTAATAACCTTGGAAATGTTTTAGTTCTTTCCATGATCTCTCTTTTAGTTCTTTTCATGGTTCTTCCAATTTTAGTTCCTCTATCTCTCTAAACTGATGAAACCTGGCAGATTTTCTCTAAAACATATTTTCGAGTTCACGTTCAGCCGTAACCCATTTCAGCTAATATTTGTCTTGCTTTTGACTCATGGCTGAAGCTTGTTTGACCCAATAGAGTCAAGATTCCAAAAAGCCTTTAGTTTTGCGTTAAATGCTAATGAGTCGACTTACCTCTTTTGGCAAGAATCTCTTCTACTGACCAATGACCATAAAGTGACATGCATTCTTTCTCGTGACCTCCTATGAATTGAAGGGTCTTAGTTTCTGATTCACAACAGTACTAAGTGCTACCATTAAAACTTCTTTACTTGGCTTATTTATAACCTATGGTTGAGGTCATTAATCCTCAAGCAAGTATCAGGTCTTAAGAGCCAAAGTTACTGTTCATCTTCAAGCTCAAGCATGAAATCTATTTTCACAATTTTTTCTTTAGTTTGAAACTTTTGTTAGCTTCTTTGAGAAAAAAATTACATCTTGTGAGGGTGTGTGTTCCCTATTCCAACTGCAGATTGCCTGTAGAAATCCTGGCTTGTCTCATCTTAGTGCCAAAAGTTTCTTACCATTAAGTGCTTTAGAACCACTAGAACCTCATTTACTTTTACTTTTATTAAGTTTGGTTCACTTAGTTCTCCTTGTTGTTTTAAGAAAACACAAGTTTATCTCTATTTAGGGGTGGAAATGAACCAAATAATTAACAAATAGTTCGATAATTGTTCGAATAACTATTCGATCATATTCGATTCGGTAGTTCATTTACCACTAAACAAATATTTTTTAGTATTCGAGTTTACTAACGAATAGAATTTAACCAGATGTATATTCGATTCGTTTGCCTATTAAATATTCGTTTAAAATTTAATCACAACTTATTATTTGTATTATTGCACATATGATGTTATATTTTTAATAAGTATTCGTGAATATTCATGAATATTTATCAAATACCAAGTATTCGAGTTCGAATTCGAAAAACTAGATATATGAATATTAGAGTCCGCATTCGAATTCGATAATTTTAAACAAATACAAATACGAATACCTTAGTATTCGATTCGATTCGATCGTTTACCACCCCTATCTCTATTAATGTTTCTCCCTTGGTGTTAGCAGAGATTCTGTCTTCCAAGCTTAAGGTGTTGAGTACGGTGGAGTTGGAAGTATTCAACTTCCTGTATGTGGTTCAGTCTTGCTAACTCAAGGGTGTTAAGTGCAGGAGAGTGTTGAATCCAGCTTACAGGGCTGTGAAGTTAGCAGTTTGTACCTATTGGGCTTTGGGAGAAGTCTTTAATAGTGGAAGTTGTGAAATTCTAGTTGAGTTGAGGTGCTAGGTAGGTGGATGTAGTCAAGTTGAAAGTTGAACCACCTCTCAATCTGTGTCTACAATTGGTGAAATTCAATGAACTCTTCATTTATCCATATCACTATTTCTGTACTAACATATTTCTGCAGAACCTCCAATAGTATTATCTGGATCTTCCCATTATAACTTGAAGGGTTCAATTGGCAGATTGCTTGAAGAAAGCAAAATCCATATCAGTGTTCTCTGATCCTTACCTTCTAAGTGTTTTCTTTGTTTAAGTTCTGAATCTTCATAAAAAGAGACCCTTCCTAATATAAGTAGGTCTTTGAGAATCCTATTAATACAACATACTGTAACTAAGATCAGATGTATGAAACGAAACAAAGTACCTTAACATGGTTATAATTCTTCTAAACATTAAACCACAAAGAATAATAAAAATAATGCATTCACAGTCATGCCAGAATGTTAAGTAATGCAAATTATAGCTTCATAATGTCAGTTACTGCAACATAAAAGAATGTACATGCTTATGATAGTACATACTCTATAACTCCGCCATGTACGCCAATTGTGTAAAGTTTATCGGGAACTTGTCCATCCAATTCGTTATTATTCAACAACCTGCAAAAAGAGATCAAAATTAGTTTACAGATATAAAACAAGGAAACGATATATTACCAGAAGGAATATACTTTCATATATTTTAACACTACTAAATCCTTTTAATTCTCTTGGTAATATATTTTCTAGATTGAATATTTAAATAGTAATGCAGTACTATCTGCCAACAGTGTCATACCAAAACTAATGTCCTTCAAATACAAGTTTTGCTCACTGTTCAAATCTTAGCTCATCAAATCATATGTTAACTATTAAACTGGCAACTTAGCATTAATTCAGTCATCATATTGTGCAGACTAATGGTCAAGAAATATCATTCAAATGATTGCATCCGCAATTTAGGGTAAACCATTTGTCTCTGTAGCGAGATTGAGGAACATGTACTGTATCAAATTAAAACAAGATGATTCCAGTGTCGTACATCTCGAGTGAAATATTATCATAGGATACCCTGTGACGTTGGATAATTAAGAAGCAACGTGTCTGACAATGACTAGCAAAAACAAGAATGCTATGAGGGATAAGTGAAACAAACTAGGGAGACGAGATAGGAGTATAAATGCATCTTATCTAGCAAGTATTAGTTTCAATGAATTTTTTGTGTAATAGTTAAAAGACTTTTTTACAGATGGCTCACAAGACCTGCCTTACTATATTACATTATATAACAATTTGCTGATGTGATGAGTTACTAGGAGTTAAAGAAGGTCCGAAGGTATTGATTTTTCTGTTTGAAGCCAAACTACATTGCACACACCAATTTTATAGATTGATCTCCAGACACTAATGCATAGACAAATAAACTTCAGAAAAAGTTATGCATAAGTTGTTTGAGCATGGAGGTCATGCTAAGGATCTGGAGCCAAACCCCTCCAATTCAAATATGCAGACTATTCAAGTTGCTCAACATCCATTTGAATGCCTTAAAGGGGATTCGAAATTTTCTGCCCCGCGCATCAAATATGTAGAGAAGGATGGTCAACAATACTCTAGCATCTATAGTTAAAACTTTACAAACCCAACAAAAGATTATTCGTAGAAGGATGGTCAACAATACTCTAGCATCTATAGTTAAAACTTTACAAACCCAACAAAAGATTATTCGTAGGGGTTGTACAATGTCCGTATCATGATTGTATATTTGGGTTAACAATATATCATTTGTCATGCAATTTGCAATCATCCATGTTATCATTTTATGTCTAAATGATGCATAAGCAAGAAAACTCAAACTCATTTGAATTTTAGGCACTCCACATGACCTGTATCAACTTGAATAGAGTAGAGTTTGCATTTAAATGTCATGTATTCTGAACTAAAAACATCAGTAGGAAAAGATATCATGATTCCGTTACTTCTAACTCATTACCAAGTGGTTAATTTGTTATGTTATTGAAAACATCGTTCGTATCAAAAAATCACTTGATGGGAGAGATACCATCAAATTCTCCAATCTTTAATACTGATATTTAAGCTGATGGAGATCATGATGAGCTTTCTGGATTATCCATGAGATGGTCCACCACACGTTTTTAGGTTAATAATGTTGAAAAATTATTTACAGTGCAACAGTAGTCACAAACTTAGATACACATTGCATACACATTTCTCAATCCATGTGTATGTATCTGTCTCAAAAATTAATTAACACTAAATACTAATTGTATTGGTTTTTCTAGACAAGGAGGAAGTATTTCCATGGGAAGGGCTAATCTTTCTGGTCTACTTATATGAAATATTAAGCACACTAGAATTAGAATATATTTTTTTAAGATAGGGCGATTGAATAAATCATGAACAGTAAATACATTTACCATGGACTTTCACTATTTGTATATAGAAAGATTGACAGTTGTTTGAGGCAGGAAAGAAGCTGCTTACACAAGTTGGAGTTTGGATGAGTCTAAGCTGTCGGGAATACTACCAGAAAACTGGTTTGTAGACAAATCCCTGAAAGTTAAAGCACAAAGGAAGATACACTAAATTTTAGCTCGAGCAAAACTCGGCTAGAAAACTTAAACAGTACAAAGGAAGATTAAAGAGCAAAGTATAAAACAGAAAATGAAGAGCAATCCACTTACAATTTCACTAGAGATCTTTGACCTAAACCTGCTGGCAGTGTTCCACTCAGTGAATTGGAGCTTAAGTTACTGCAAGACCAACAATATATACAAAGACTAAGACCAAAGCATAAAGACTAAGAATATAATCAGAATTGAAAGTAATTATGACTGAATTTCCTGCAAGAACAATAATTATACAGTGACTAAGAATATAATCAGAATTGAAAGTAATTATGACTGAATTTCCTGCAAGAACAATAATTATACAGTGAACTGGACAAGACCTTAGAAGCGGTTCATGATAAGAAGAATAGGTTTGGGCTATTTATTTGAGTAAAGGTTAAGACTTGGGGGCTTTGATGAAAACCCTAAAATCTATTGTGCACCACTCAAAACTAGTTGAACATATTTCATAACGAGATGTATATGTTACAAAACATCCACTGTCAATATATATGGGTCAGTAGAGATAGAAATTAGCACATACCCTTGTTGGGTGATCACCAGGTGCTTAAGTAAAGTTCATCTCATTAACTTTAATATTAAAGTGCAAAATACCTTGTTGGGTGATCACCAGGTGCTTAAGTAAAGTTCATCTCATTAACTTTAATATTAAAGTGCAAAATACAGAAAACAGTTACATGCTTTAAGACACGAAATAGATTGATACTTACACGCTTACCAAGTTTGTTAGGAGACTAATTTGATCACTGATATGTCCTTTCAGTCCTTGACTACCAAGATCCCTGCATCCACCAGAGAAGGGCCAATGTTAAGGACGTATTATACAAAGTTGTCCTTTTCAGTCAAAGGTGATTAAAACCTTAATAACAAGAGAAGTTGCAGATGCATGTATAGGACCTTCATGAATAACTTCATAATATGTGATCCATGTTAAAAATACATGGATAGACATGCACGTATTGGAACAAATAAGTTTTATGTGCAGAAGCATAAAACAGTAGAATATTCTCTATAGTTTATCCCTTCATAGATACACAACACCATATAAAATCGAGCAAGAGAATTAATACTGCAAGAGTAACATGAGGAAAGGGGGCTGGTAAACTTTAATGACACAAAGAAATAAGGATTGCAAGGAATTATCAGGATGTGGAAGCACCGGCATAGATGATGAAAAAAAGCTGAGATTTAACAAATGGTAATGTAAAGGCTAGCTTGACAATGCTGAGGAGAGAACATTAAGCATCATCAAGCTAGCAATTGATGATTTCAATACAAGTCATAGAAATCAGAGAAAATAAGGAACAGCCTCCACACATCCAGCTTGTCAAAACTTTGTCCGGATTGAAGATATGTATAAACTAAAACAAGAGTGTCATTATGTGTTTTCACTTTTCAGTGAGCTGATTGTGTATTTTTAGTAACTCGCATGAGTTTTTGCTGTTGCACAAAAAGGAAAATCTGCTAGCATCTAACCTGAACAGATGTTAATTGTTAGCAGCAAAAGGAGCATTTAAGTCCTACAAATTGATTTAGTGCATTTAATTGTGGACAAAACCAATGGCTTTAGATATTTCATGAGTTTGTTAAAACGTGATGTAATGTAATTTTTGTGTAGTAAGTTACCAAAACATAGACTAGCACGAGAGGTAAATTTTGCTAAGTTTTCACTTTCCATCTAGTGAGCCTATAAAGTTTTATTTCTAGATTCTGAAATTTTCTATGGAGAGATGGTATTGTACTCCTGTTTGGACAAATGTTATGAAGCCCAAAATGTGGAAGCAAATGGAATAGTTGTTATTTACACTCAGACTGTAGAAGGGGCCACAGTAGCCAAAGCTTTTTCAGTGGCATTTCCTACCAAACCCATTTTACTAAGCATGAAGCGTTCAGCACAGGGCAGCAAGCGGATATTCAGCTCAATACTTATTGAATGTCTATATTTTGATGATTTATCAAAATTAATAGGCCTAAGCTCTTCAAATTTCTACAGGAAATTCAGACATACCTACACCTATTGTAGTTCTATGCAAGTTCACTAAGATGTACTCTTTGATGTATAAGTGAAAACAAATAAATATCTTGAACAGCTAACAGGAAAGAAGTGTATGCGAAGTGTTGGACGTGTTGAAGAAGTGTACAAGTGTCTCAAATAAACATGTACTGTACAATTGGTGACATTTTTTTGTGAAATATCTGACACAAATTGAAAGAGACTCTGAGAAAACGTCTATATCCAACATGGCATGTCGGTGTTCGAAACTTGGATATAGCTTAATAACAGAAATACCCATGCCGCATGGCTAATATAGAAATATGATTCATGTAACACCAAATATATGACATAAAGGCTATATCGGGTGCTATGCGGTTCTTGTAGAGCTGTGTGCATATATTCTCAAGAGAAAAGGTCATTTTAAGTAAAAATCAATTAATTTTTTGGTTAGATATGAAGTTGATACTGTGTACAGCATATTTGACTAGGAATTTTGTCAAAAGATAATGTGAACTCAGTTCAGTCATTATTGTTAGGATTCATTCAAGTTCTCTAATGAAGAAGATAATTTAAAGGCAACCATGTTTAAAGAAATTACAGTGAAAAAATTAATGATATCCAAATAACTAATTAATTGTAAGAGAAAACTATTAGCAAGCTGCTGTTTTATATATTGATACATGACCACAAAAGCTACTATACCAACCAAAAATAGCATAAAACCAAAATGTTCTCTAACAAAATGCATATATCCCAAAATGAAAGGTAAACAGATAAGTATTACTCACAACTGCGTGATGACAAGAGACTTCCCATCCTGACTCCTATGGCAAGTAACCCCCTCCCAAGCATCCCAACTCGAAGGCGCGCAAGGATCCCCATTCCATCCCATCCTATCCGGTACCTTCAACGACTCCTTCAATGCTTTCATTGCATTCACTGGAAAAACAAATCAAACAAACAAGCAAACAATCAAGTTCAACAAAGCACATTTCAGCCTCCACCAACATCCCCACACCTCGCATAAAAATCCTGCGGAAGAGGGAGAGGATCTTGACACGTTTCGCCTGACATGAATCTTAAACTCAGCTGATGATGATTAATAACCATCCAACTTTATTTTTCTGCCAGAACAACTGACTCTTTTGTGTTTTCGGACAAAGACGTGTCAAGACCCGATTCCTCTAAATGATTTTATCTATAGGACCCTCTATACGGTTTTTCCCCCCAGACATTTGTCCTTACCTTGACTCGGAACAGTAGACAAATCCAACGGAACCATGGCATAATTCTCCAACCCACTGATAATCGGCCTCCCGTCACCGGCACAAGCTTCACATTCATCTCGGTGCTCGTCAAGTTCTTCACAACATAATGCCATCTAAACGCCGAAAACCCCCCAACCTCCTTATAAATATCAATCCTCCTAACCTTCTTCCCATTCACGTACACATCAAAAACCCTCTTCCCCTTACCATTCACCCCTGAATCAATCTCCGCAAAGTGAAACCACAGCATATAATCAAGCTTACTATCAACCGGCAAAATGTACTCCAAATAGTCCGAGCTCGAAACAGTCGTCACCGCCGCCTCATACAGCTTCGCCGGGAAGTAATTATGAGCATGGTCGGTGCCGAGGACTCTCCGGCCACCAGACGAAAGCGCTTTTATCTTCAAATGAGGGTTTCTGAACTCAGCATCAGAGTTCCAAACTCGGCCAAACCTATCATCATCGATAGTGAATCCGGGTCCAAAAAGCTCCGACCCGCAGCTTAACCTCCCATAATTAACAAGAACTAGATCAGATCCAACTGAAGAAGCATCATACGCCAAGGGATCGACCTCGAACAGCTCGATAGAGGAAACAACTGGCGGATCCGTGGCTATCGAGTAGAAGCAAACATCGACAAGTCCATCAGACGCGGGGACGATCAGGTCAGAGTAAGCTCCGGAGCGGTCGACAGGCTCGGGCCACGGGGATCGCCAGCTGAAGACGAGGGTGGACTCGACGGAGACGTCGAAGCTCGGGGGGCGGAGCTTGGCGTCGTAGTTGTCGTAGACGGTGAAGAGGCGGAGGTAGAACCGGGAGGGAGGGGAGGGGACGGGGAGGGAGTAGCAGTTGCGCTTGCCGGAGGAGAGGGGGAAGAAGCGGAGGGAGGGCGCCTCTTGGGCGGTTGGAGAAGCGGTGGCTCCGCGACGACGGCGGTGGGCGGGCCGCCGGAGTAGAAGCGTGCTCGGAGATCCAGGTGCGGTTGAGGGCGGAGGTGAAGTTGGAGGAGCCGCCGCTAGTCGATGAAGTAGCGAGGTCCGAGAGGAGGAGGAGAGGGAGGGTGAGGGAGAGGAGGAGAGGAGGAGGAGGGAATGCATGGTGGCGAGGGGGGAATGGTGGGGTGGGGGGAATGGAGGTTTGAAAGAAGGCGAGGGGAGGGGAGGGGAGGAGGTAGAGAGGGTGGCGGTGATTGGCGGAGAGTAGGGAGACGATAGGTGGACTGCCCCTCGGTGGGTGAAGAAGTGGGTGCGAAGTTAGTAGTGGACTTCGGGGGGGAGATCTTTTTGGCGGTGGTCTGAAAGGAAGGAGCGAGGATGAATTTAAGGCTCGTGAGCGGGGTGGGTCCGGGGTGTGGCGATGCGTAGGTGGGAACAGCAGACAGGGTTTTTTTTATCGAAAAAAGAAACAAATTTTCTAAACAAACACATTCATAATTTTTTTTTCTAAAAATAGACTCTATTGAGTTTTTTTTACAAAAATCGATCTATATCGTCTTAATTCGGTTTCTAAATAGTCGCGGTTGTCAACCCCGATTATTTAGTATATAGAATGTTAGGATTTAGGGTTATAATTGGGGGTTTACAACCTCCTAAATAGTCGGGGTTGACAACCCCGACTATTTAGGAACCGGAATAAGATAAAATGTGTCTATTTTGTAAATAAAACTCAAGGGGTCTATTTTTAAAAAAAATATGAATAAGTTTATTTAGAAAACTTCTTCTTGAAAAAAGGCTAATTGAACTTAAAAATAGTTTCTCCTATAGTCCTAGTTTTGTACTTATATACTCTACAGTTTAAAATTTTGCATTTGAATACCCACACCAATGCAAATGCGCGAGACACTAAAATTTAGAAATTTTTAATTCTTAATTATTTGTTAAATTTACTACAAAACTATAATAATTCTATTTTAATCCTACATGAATTATGTGTTTGTTGTGCCTTAGAAATAAGTAAGTATATTAATCAACATTCAACTGGCTAACACGTGTCTCAAGCAGACTACACCCAAACTCGACCCAAACTCGACCCAAACAAACAGGCCAAGGCACCCCTTCTCGCCAGGCTAAGACAGACATCCCTTCTCGCCAGATCAAGACAGACGTCCCTTCTCTCCATGCCAAGACGAAAGGTGTCCTTTCTCGCTAGGCCTAGGGAAGCGTCTCTTCTCGCTGGGCCAAGACCAAAGGCGTCCCTTCTCACTAGGTCGAGACAAAAGACATTCCTTCTCGCTAGGCCGAGTTCAAAGGCATCCCTTCTTGCCAGGCCGAGTCGTAAGGAGTTGTCTCTTCTCACCAGGCCAAGTCGTCCCATCTCGCTAGGAGTCATCCGTTCTCGCCAAACTGAGACGAAAGACGGTCATTCTCAAACCCCTCGTTGATAGCCAATCACCATCAAGTTAAATGCATGATTAGAATTATCGTTGCTCCATCCCTAAAAGTCTTTATGACTCATCAAACTCCGTCAACACTATGCTTCTCTTTAAGAGGCGTTTTGGGGAGAAAGCTGCCACTTAGGCAGCTTTCTGCTCCCCTCCCAAGGTAAAAACAATGAAACAAACAGGGCCTAATTGAACTTAAAAATAGTTTCTCCTACAGTCCTAGTTTTGTACTTACTAGTTTTTACACACGTGCAATGCACGTGATTTAATACCATGATTAAGTATTTTTGGTAGTTTATGCTCATTTTTTTCTTTAAACTCTTACATCCCGATTATTTTTTTATGTTTGTTTAAATGGGATACATCCAATTTAAATTTTCATGTTGATATTTGAATTGACAAAAAACAAATATAATTTAAAAATAATTTGAATTTTCATATTATTTTTGACCGATATGAAACTAAGCTTTATTTGAGAAAGTATAGCATTGCAAAGTAAAAAATATTAAAATAGTGTTATACAAGGAAGGTGAATATTTAAAACCAATATGGCAAAATGATTGATTTAAAGTATGTTAAAATGATGCAAAAGAGAATATGAAGTTTATTCCTAATCATTGATAGACTTCATAAAAAAACATAAATTAAAGATTAATACTAACTCTAGTATACTTTATATGATAAAAACATCCACATAAGAATATAAAAGTACTGAAAAAAAATTCATGAAACTCTCTTCTAAAGATTCCTAATTTCACTCAAAATAATTAAACTATTCTATAAAATATTCGTAAAATATTGTTTTTATTTCTTCTATTTTATTTTATTGAGTTAAGATCAATCATTCTTCAAGTTTATCATTTATCATTTCTCGGACAATTCTAGAGTATCGTCTTCATCATCTACATCAATTGTGATGTCAAGCTAATTTTATATTTTTATGCTATTATCTTTCCTGGGCTCGTTAATTTTTTATCATCTCATTTAACTTTACAAAGAAGTCAAATGTACTTATGATGTTCAACACAAACTGCTCAAAATATAGACTTCGATTTTTTTCTATTTCATTGAGAATAAATATTAATTTCATATATCTAAAATTCTTTGTGTTCCTAATTTATTACTTAAATAAATTAGAAGCTAGCTCTTTATTTTCCTCTAAAATGAATTCTTCTTATGTGCATCTAATAAGAATTTCTGTTATTTCAATAATATTACATTTGCTCTATCCCTGTCATTTTCCATAAAGATCTAAACTAAATACATGTATTATTCATTACCAATTTCTCTTAGATTATAATATTAATATTTATTTTGAAGAACACAGTATAGAATTTATGAATACTTACTAATTTTTCTTATGTCTACGATGGAGATTTTTTTTATTAGGATAAAGTTATTAAATTATTTTTTAATGTAACTCATTCAGTGCTTCATTAATAGATATGTCTTATGTTAATACCAATTCAAGTGATTCATTGACGTTACCTGAATTTTAGATTTATTTCCATTACTTTCCCATTTGCAATGGAAATATTTCAATTCTTTTAAAGTTATTTCTAAATATTCTAATAGTTTCTCCATATGTAATTCCTTGTATTCTTTTACCCTATAAATATTATTAACGTTAAAGATTAAAGTTTTTAAATTAAAATCAATTAATGCTAAGGTATAATATTATAGTGTTTTATCATTTCTATGGATTTAAACATCTATCAATTAATGTTATGAATGTATTTTGGCTACCCCTTATTACTAAAATTATATGAAATTACTTTAATTTATATAGTACCGATAATTTTTAATCTATAATTTTTTTAAAAATTTTATCCATTAACCGGATGTTTTTAATCAATTCTTATTATTTTTGTTTACCAGTATCAACTTAGACTATTCTTAGATGCTGAAAATGGATTTAAATGTTAGTATATTTCTTGTAACTCTAAAATTTTGAGGGTGTCTTTTGCAATTATTAAAACTATATATTAATTTTAAAAAATATTAAATTTCAGCGGTCTACCTATCGACGAATTTGATGTGTGTTAGTTGAATTTTTTGAAAATTTAGAGTTTTTTTATGATTTTTAAATTTTGAAGGAGTTTTTAAAAAAATTTGAGGTTAATTTTGGTAAATTTTAATTTTTTAGGTGTTTAAGGGTAATATCTTGAATTCATCTTATTTTATTTACAAATTTTAGAATTTTAGGGTGGCTTTTTATAATTTAAAATTTTGAAGGTGTTTCTATAATTTTTGATATATTAAGGGTCTTAATTAAAAAATTTAAATTTAAATATCAAAAATTTTAGGTGTATCATGATAATCTCTTGAATTCATCTGTATTATTTGTAAGTTTTAAAATTTTAGAATTTTAATGTGCTTGTCTGTAATTTAAACTTTTGAGGGTGTTTCTATAATTTTTGAGACATTAAGGTGTTAAATGTAAATTTTAAATTCTTTGCAAACTGATGTTAATTTTTTAATTTCATGTTTTTTATTTTTAAGTTTTGAGACATTTAGATGAGTTTTATAATTTTGAACTTTTCAGGGTCTTTTCTGCAATTTTAAAACTTTTTATGATTTTTTTACAATACTTCATGTATTATAATATGTTATCTACTTGTAATTTCTTTATCTTAAGGGTAATATCTTGAATTCATCTTATTTTATTTACAAATTTTAGAATTTTAGGGTGGCTTTTTATAATTTGAACTTTTGAAGGTGTTTTTATAATTTTTGAGAATTGAGGGTCTTAATTAAAAATTTTAAATTTAAATGTTAATTTTTTTAGGTGTATCATGGTAATCTATTGAATTCATTTGTGTTGTTTGTAAGTTTTAAAATTTTAGAATTTTAATGTGCTTGTCTGTAATTTAAACTTTTGAGGGTGTTTCTATAATTTTTTAGACATTGAGGTGTTAACTGTAAATTTTAAATTCTTTGCAAACTGATGTTACTTTTTTACTCTACGGTTTAAAATTTTGCATTTGAATACTCACACCTAGTCATGTCCATCCGGGCGGGGGCCCGAGCAGCCCGGGCCCGGGTCTAAGCGGGACCGGTTTTCTTTATTTTTTAAATTTTTCAAGAAGACAAAGCAAAAGATAAACACATTTTTTATAAAAAGTTATATTATTAATCAATTGTAATTATGTAATTTACAAATATAAAAATTTAAAGAAATTAAAATGATAAAATAATATAAAATTGTTATAGAATTTATAGAAAATAAAAAATAATTGCAGAATTCAAAGAGCCTAAGAGGCCCAAAGCCCAGTCAATGACATCTAATTAATTGTTAAATGTGAAATTACCAGGGCAAAAAGAACAAAATAACTCTTTCAACTATAGGGGCAGTTCGGTGTCGTGGCAAAAGAACAAAAGAACAAAATTACCACTAATACATATCGGCAAAAGAACAAAATTACCACTATGAAGTCGAATCAGAAAAAAAAAATCCCGTATTGAAAAGCTTTTCCCCCCTTCAACAAAAACTTGCAGAAAATTTCAGATGGCATGCATACAGAAAATTCAAAAAAATGCAAAATATGCAAATTTGTGGCCTCTCACGTTCATAGCCTTGCACAAATTAAGCCAATTACGAATTACCCAAAGAAGCTCAATTTCTAATTAATAGGTAAACAGTCTTCAAATTACATACACAATTTCTCATATACTTACAGCTAGCAAAAGCTTCTCATCATGACTAAACCAGTAAATAAATCACTAGCAAAAAGTGATCTTTTCCCCATTGAACAAACTTTTCCCCAAAAAACAGATGGAAGCAAAGAAATATACCCAATGAATCGCCTTGGGTGATGACAAGAACATCATCCTCATCAACAATTGGGCTTCCAGAGTCCTTAATTAATCGCAGAAAGAACCGCTCCAATCGGAACAGCGACGAGATTCGTCAGAAGAAGAGCGCGAGATTTAGCGACCATAGCATCCTGCAAAGACGAATCAGATCACTGATCAAAACCCAAGAAATCCCAACGCAGGACGAAATCTTCATCGAATTCGGGAGAGGAGAACGGTGACTTTTGACCGTGAGAGGAGGAGCTCCACCGCGAGATCGCGGAAGAGGAAAGCTGAAGGCGGAGGTGGAGGTCGACGGCGAGAGGGGGGAGGGAGGGTTTCGGAGGGGGGAGAGGGGATTCTTCAATTTGGGGACCTGAGAGTGAGTTGGGTTGGGGACGAGAGAGAGAGGGGTTTTATTAAGAATCGTTGGCTTTTTTTCAAAAAAGCCCAAAGCAGCGCATCCAGCTCAACGAATCTTCGTTTTCGCACGTTGCTGTGCGAAAACTTTTCGCATCCGAAGAAATCCCTATATATATATAGATTTCTTCGGATACGAAAAGTTTTCGCACAGCAACGTGCGAAAAGAATACAGGCCGTTGGATTATCTGTTTAGCTAATGAACGGAGGAGGCCTTTTCAAAGCCCCGTGACCCCAAGAGAACTGTCAGATCCCCAAATTTCCATATCTCCCCCCTCCAAGACCCTTCTTCATCCCTCTGGCGACTAGCCCCCCTCCAAGACCACATCCCTCTGGCGATCAGCCCCCCTCCAAGACCGATCCTCCTCCACGAGATCCAGTCTCCGATCCTTCATCTTCATCATCTCGAAGTTGTAGCTGCTCGAGCGCTGAGGCCGCCAGCCAAGGGGTCAAAGTGGGCGTAGCTTGCGGGCTGTTTTACTCGGCGCTGGTGGTCGACGGTAGGGTTTGGATCTGGGGGAATGGGGACGAGGGGAGATTAGGGTTTAGGGATGAGACGTCGAGGTTCGAGATGGAGAGGAACGATAACCTTAATGCGGTGAGGATGCTTGCTCTTGGTGGGGTTCATTCTACTGCCCTCAGTAGAAAAGGGGAGATCTTTACTTGGTCAGTGATGAATTAGTGAGTTTGTGGTTGTTAAAGTTGCCAACTTTCCTAAATTTTGTTTCTAATTTCAAGTGAATTGTTTGTTTCGTTTAAGATTATCGAACTGGTGATTGTACAATGTAGAGAAGTTGCATAGTTTTGCCTTTGTAAATTCCTGTAGGATGGCATCACCAATAACTTTTAATGTTTTGGTAAATCTGTGAAAAAACCTGTAGCTTAGATTGAAAATGTAAGCCCTCTGATGATTATTTTTAGGAACTTATTCCTCTTTAATCTATGCCATATTCTATCCCTTAAATTTGTTAACCGAGAATGAAAATGACAGTTTGAGCAAAAAAAGCTTACTCATTGTTGGTGTTAGTATTATAACGTAGTGGTGGACTAATAGGGTTCATGTTTGTGATAGTTGTTAATTTTTCTAATTTTGGGTTCAAATTTATAGTGAACTGTTTGTTTTTATTGAGATCGTTGAATTGGTGTTCGTACAAGCAGTGGAAGCTGCGTAGTTGGCTTGTACAGATTGGTATAAATGTTAGCTTAGTCAATAACTTTAATGTTTCGTTAAATATGTGATAAGAAACTAAAGCTTAGGTTAAAATGTAACTCCCCTAATTGGTTATCCTTCTAATGGTTATAACTCCTGTATTTGTTATAATCTTGTATTTTCTACCACCCCTATATCAACCTTAGTTAAGAGGGAATATGCGTGAATGCTAGAATGACTCTTTACTCAAATATGTGAAGTTTGCAGGGGTTATGGAGGGTTTGGAGTGCTTGGGCATTCTGTTTATCATATAGAGCTTTTGCCTAGACTTGTGAATGGTCCTTGGGAAGGAACCATATCCCATCTTGCCACTACTGGAGCCCACACTGCGGCTATTACTGATTCAGGTGTGTCTTGTATCAACCAAGAATAAAAACCTCTAGCACTTCACTGTTTGTAGATGAATTGGTTGTCAGGTGATAGCATTTGAAAAGTCTGGTAAGTTGTTATACGTCCAACTTCATATCACATTATACAAACTGTTTCTTGATGTCATTCCTAAAAGCTATTATTTCAAAAATACATAGATTAAAGTGATTCCCACCTAAGGTGACACCTTAGATTCCCACCTAAGGACGCAGCCTAAAGTCTGATGATTTAGAAGAATCATTTGAGGAAGGTAATGGTTAATACATACGGAATAACTTGTACATTGCCATTTTTAATGTGATGAAGCACTTTGTTTTTTTAATTTTTTTCAATACAGATGAAGTTCTCACTATTGCGTGAAGTTTGATCAAGGTTGGCGGAGGATGAAGTTTGATCAAGATTGACGGAAGATGAAGTTTGATCAAGTTTTGATGAATAAGATAAAGAACTCTTCATGTATCCAACTAGTAAATCTACGTCAACCAATCCTCACAAGGACCGTAATGGAGATTTTGCAGTTTTTTTTGCTTAGTCCAACTGCAGAAGTTGCAGCAGAGATGTTATTAGATGATGTAAATTTTCAAACAGATGTCCTTAATCCTCAACAGATGTCTTAAAATTTCAAACTACCTGTATGTTCTTTAATCCTCAACAGATGTCTTTTATGCACACTAGCAATATATGTTGCTGAAAAGAGCTTGGTAATAGATGAGATGGCATCTACTGCACGGTTGTTGCATATCGACATGAAAAAAGTGCACAGTCTAAACAGGGAAATATGCATTGTGAAGTTCCCTCTCATATTTAATACTCTTGGAGGCCTTCTTTGATTCTGTTTTATTGTATTGATTAGTCTCATGATGTCATGTATTGATGTTGTAAATGGCTAACCAGTGAGCATGAAAAAAGTGCAGTCTATTTCTTAACTCATATTGTTCTTTAATCCTGCTGGTGGCAGTGGCGCTGGGTGCTACTAAAGTTATATCATGAACTTAAAAATTGGGACTATTATATTTTGTTCTGGTTTTGGCCACCTTATATTGGTCATATGTATTTTGCTGTGGAAATGCTTTTGCAGTCTGTACTTCAAATTTTATAAGCTCTTATTGTAAGTGAAACTTTTATTAGATTTTATGCTCTAAATAGCAAGTGAAACTTCAAATTTCCTCTCTCCTCACCTCTCAGCTGTCTCCATGATGACATTGGCTATGTACAAATATCAGTGCGTGCGTATTTGTGTGCAAAATATGTTTTTATGTGCTCCCACATACCTTCACAACTAACAAGTGACATAATTGATTCACATGCATGTTTATAAGAGTTCTGCATATTACCCAGGGAGGAAGAATTGTCCATGTATATATATCATAATCAAAATATTCACATAAGAACCCATTTTCATTCAGTTATTAAGTAGAAATACAAACGATTGGAAACATATGTTTTTATTAGTACTTGCAAATTTGATACATGTATATCATTTTACACATTTCCTATTCCTGACAATTAACTATGAACTTTACACATTTCCTATTCCTGGCAATTAACTATGAACTTTACACATTTCCTATTCCTTTTCTTTATATATACAACATTGCTTCTAATTCACCAGCATTGCTTCTAATTCCCAGCATCACTTGTCTAACTCGTTCTCTAGAAAGACCGAACCTGCAAAAAATATGAAATTTGTAAGAGACATTCTACTTAATTAACAGAACACCATCATCATCTTCGTCAGAACAAGAGTTAAAAATCAAGAAGCTTAAACGGTCAGGTCATCACCAGGTTAGTAGAGGCCCCAACAACAAACGGCTCCATCAGCAACCGCGTCAAGAAATAGAAAGCCACCCCTAGCATGATCGAAATGGGCAAGGCCGACAATGCCCTCCGCCACACCGTCAACAATATCAACGTGCATCCAAGCCCCGACAGAATCACAAGATAGCAAGCGTAAACCGTCATCAGATCATATATCGCCGCCCTCCCAACAAGGATGCAGTAGAACACAAAATCCCCAAGCCCCAACCGAATCCCCCTGCTCATCTCCATCGAATCGTCATCATCATCATCATTATTGCCCTCCCCAGCGTTCCTATCCCCAAACAACGGAGCTCTCTCCTCCTCCTCCACCTCCGCGGTGGCGGCGACGACAGCAGCATCCTCAATATCCACCACGAAAGATCGATCGCAAGAAACCCCAGAAGTAGAAGTCACCAGCTGCATCTCCACGCTCATAGCGGTAGCAACAGTAGCAAGAGCAGGCGGCCAACCGTCCGGCTGCGCCTGCGCCGTCGGACGGGCCTCGTAGACGAGGGATGTCAACTCCTCGTCCGCGACTAGAAGACAGTTCAACAAGAACATCCCGATCGAGGGCTGGCAACCCCGAATGTTCCTCGGCGGCGGTGGCTTGGGTCACGAGGCGAGAGAGCGGAGAGGAGGATGGTTTGGGGAGAGAAAGGGTGAGGGTAATGGGAGGTCGAATGCCAAAGTTGGTCGGCGGCGGAGTCGCAGTTCCTCGGCGGCGGTACTTGGGGTCAACGAGGCGAGAGAGGGAATAGGAGGAGGGTTATTGGGGACGAGAGAGGGAGGAGGGTCTGGGAGTAGGGTCACGGAGAAGCTAAATAAATGGCGGCTCCTCGCGTTCATATAAACTAAGGCAGATAAATCCAACGGCCTCCATATTCTTTCGCACGTTGCTGTGCGAAAACATTTTCGCATTCTGAAGAAATCCATAATATATATATATATATATATACACACACACATATACATATAATTATGAGATAACAATTGTAAATACTGTATAAGAATTACATACAACAAATTGTACTTTATATATATATATATATATATATATATATATATATATATATATATATATATATATATATTGTACTTTATATATATATATATATATATATATATATATATTATATATATATATATATATTATAGTATAATATATAACATTTTACTATTCCGGACCGGCGTCGCGGAGGCGGCCCGGGCCGCGGAACCCACCTTGGCCCGGGTTTCGCGGGCAACCCTGGGTCGGCCAGCTCTGGTCGGCCGGGCCGACGAGCTTTTTGGACAGGCCTACCCACACCAATGCAAATGCACGAGACACTAAAATTTAGAAAATTTTAATTGTTAATTATTTGTTAAATTTACTACAAAACTATAATAATTCTATTTTAATCCTACATGAATACTGCTTTTGTTGTGCCCTAGAAATAAGTAAGTATATTAATCAACATTCAACTGGCTGGCACGTGGCTCAAGCAGATTACACCCCAACTCGACCCAGACAAGTAGGCCAAGGCATCCCTTCTCGCCAGGCTGAGACATGCGTCCCTTGTCGCCAGATCGAGACAGACGTCCCTTCTCGCCAGACCAAGACGAAAGGTGTCCTTTCTCGCTAGGCCTTGAGAAGCATCCCTTCTCGCTAGGCCAAGACCAGAGGCGTCCCTTCTCACTAGGTCGAGACAACAGACATCCCTTCTCGCTAGACCGAGTTCAAATGCATCCCATCTTGCCAGGCTAAGTCAAAAGGAGTTGTCTCTTCTCACCGGGCCAAGTCGTCCCATCTCGCTAGGAGTCATCCGTTCTCGCCAAACTAAGACGAAAGGCGGTCATTCTCAAACATTACGTTAAATGCATGATTAGAGCTCCACCCCTAAAACTCTTTATGACTCATCAAACTCCGTCAGCACTATGCTTCCCTTATCACCATCACATTAATCACAAGGGTGACTCATGCCACCCACGACCAACACTTGTAAAATATCTACCAACTGAGCCGCCTGCTTGGAGTCGGCCTAAATTACGCAATTCCCCCTCTATACCTGCTATAAATAGAGACACTATCTGCTGGACAGGAGTAAGCATTATTTTTGCTACTGAACACATTTGAACGCTACTTCTCCACTCAATCACTTGACTGACTCGATCGTCGGAGGAATCACTGAAGATTCTACAGAGGCATCACTGGAGATTCTAACTTCGATCCTCCCACGTGCTGTTTACATGCATGAATGGATTTTCGGCTCAGCACCCAACTGTCTAAAGAAGGCGCCTAATACACTGATAATTCCACAGTTAACCTTATGTGTGATAACTTTCATCAATAGTTTGGCGCTCACTGTAAGACCTCTTCATCTCTCTTTGAGGAAGTGGTCGATCCGCTGTCTTCGGACCTCGAAATTGAAAGCTGCCACTGCCCAAGGCACAGAGTTCAATTTCACTCAGACTCGACCATCCGAGTTCAAGCGAAAGAGGCTAGCATTGTGCTATAGAAATAAGCAAGTATTAATCAACATTTAACTGACAGATTACACCCCAACTCAACCCAAACAGATAGGCCGATATGCCCCTTCTGGCCAGTTTGAGACAGACGCCCCTTCTCGCCAGGCCGAGATAGACGTCCCTTTTCGCTAGGCTGATATAGACGTCCCTTCTCTCTAGGCCGAGATGAAAGGCGACCCTTCTCGCCAAGATGAGACAGACGTCCCCTCTGGCCAGGCCGAGTCCAGAGACATCCCTTCTCACCAAGCCAAGAAAAAATGTGCCCCTTCTTGCCATGTCAAGACCAGAGGCGTCCCTTCTTGCTAGACCGAGTTAAAAGTAGTCGTCCCTTCTCACCATGTCGAGTCCTCCCTTCTCGCTAGTCCAAGATGAAAAGCGGTCATTCTCAAACCCCTCAACGACAGTAAGTCACCATCATATTAAATACATGGTCGGAATCATCATTGCTCCAGCTCTAAAAGTCTTTATGATCACTCATTAGACTCTGTCAGCACCATGCTTTCCTTGTCACTATCGCATTAATCACAAGGGTGACTCATGCCACCCATAGCTGATACAATCTTTATAGTTAAGTGGGTTTTCTAAACTAAGTCTTGTATTTAACACTCATCCTCCAAGATCATCCTCTCTCTCTCTCTCTCTCTCTCTCTCTCTCTCTCTCTCTCTCTCTCTCTCTCTCTTCGTTTTCCATTGGATAACATGGATTCGATGAATCATTCGTGCTTGGCGTTAGGGTCTGTTTGGTTCATTACATGGTAACCATTTTTTGGTGATTTCAAGGGCGGAAAAAAATCAAAACACCACATGTGAGCTCCATTTTTCAATCATTTTAGCTCATTTCCTCACAGAACAACCTGAAAATAGCTTTCTAGTTTTTACAGGACCCGATATATCATTAGCATCTCTGA